TCTTGCTGGCCAGACGTCAAACAGTTGGCAGCTCCGGAGGACGGGGACCTCCCGTAACCGCGGGTCCCCAAACGACCCAAACACCCGAGGTGTGGCTTGGTCTCAACCAAGGCCCTTGGGTGCTTTCGGTAAAGGAGATTTCTCCTTGGAGAGGGGGAGAGGGGGAATGGTGGGGGGGTAGACTCCCCTCATCCCTGCTCTGAGCTATAACGTCACCGCCGAGTGTGACGTGTTCGCAGGATGAGCGGCACTTGCTTTGCGAGGGAGAGGCCAGGCTAAGGGCCGCTGTGAAAAGCCAGCCTGCGGCACCGCTGCCTGGCTCCCAGCAGCTGAGACCTGTGCCCTGTCCCTGCGTCCTGGCAGGGAGGAAAACGAGGACACGGCCTTCGGCAAAAAACATTTCTCAGCCATTTGCACAAGCAGCCGGGAAGGGAGAAGCTGGGCAGGAGCCTGTGGAGAGCCCAGCACCCACACGGGGGGACCAAGGAGACGGCCCCGTGTGCCAGCCAGCTCCCAGGCACCTTGCACCTCTCTTCCCCCCAGCCTAAGGATCAGTACCTCGCTCCTGCTGTGCCAAGCGCTGTCACAAAAATGCTGAAGTCCCCCATCTCCCTTTAGTCTCCAGGGTGGCATGTGTCACGTCTCGCAGCTCTTCCCCGTGACACGCTCCAGCCGCGGTGGGAGTGCAGACTGTCATGCTGAGCAGCACGTCCTCTCCTGTCCCATCAGGGCATCTTTGCCTGCAGCCCTAGAGGAGAAAAGACAAAGTTTTCACAACATCTTCCCTCCCATCCAACACCTTCCCAAGCGGAAAAGGTGCTGAGCTGAAATGCATCGCCCCGTGCAGCAAGTGAGGAGCCCATAAGACGCCTTGAACCCTCCACTCTGAGGACGCACGTGCTGACCACAAAACTCTGGGTTTTTTTCCCAGTTATCCCCCGTCCCCACCCTAAAACCCCCTGCCATGCATGGGCAGCCTGACACTGGTTTCTCTTCCCTGTCACCCATGCACAAATTCCCACCTCCTCCTAAGCAGCTCCAGTGCCTCAGTTTCCCCACGCTGTGGGTTTTCAGAGAGGGGGTTTTCTGCACTGGGCAGGTGGGGATGGACAATGCCCCCGCCAAGCACCAGATGTCCCACAGCACCTCCCCACTCAGGTACTCCAGGACAGGTTCTTCATGTCTTTATGTCACTAGAGGGAGGGAAAGATGGCAATTAAAATAAATCAAAGACTGGCAGCTTCATTTGTCATCTCAAAGGGAACAGTTACAATCTGGACAGGGTGGAAACTCAGGCAGGAGACAATCAATAAAGCCCACAGGTCTGTAAGGAGACACCCACCAACCTTCAGTCAGGGCCCCAAAGTCAAAGCCCCCGCCTGACTTTGCCGTCAAAGCAACGCTGGACCCGAGCAAGGAACGTGTGAGTTGAATTCCCTTGAGCTCTTGGGTTTCCAAGCCGACAGCCCTGGGCAAGGCTTTGCTGTTCAAGGAGACCCTTCTCCACGGTGTAACAGGATCCTCCATGGTGAATAATTCATGGACTCTGGATGATCACACAGCTCCTGAGGCAGATCTGGGAGCTGGGCGAGGGCTGCTCTCCAGACAGGGTTTTTAGCCCAGGATGCTCCTAGGAACAAGGGGATCTTCTTACTCCTAAAGGACCAGGAGCTGGAAAACACTTTGGGATCTCAATGCCAGTGGGCCAGTTGGTGCTGTTCCTGGCCATCCTGATGCTTGACACCCGCCGAGCATCGTCCCCGTGGTGGCTTCATACTTGCCACTCGTGTCTCCTCATGGGCATCGCGTTATGGATTTAATGCCATGCCTTTCCATCCCTCTAGCTGGTCCACCAGCAGTTCACTTCCAGAAGGGCTGGGATCAGTCCAACACCTCATCTGCTCCCAGCCTTCATGGAGACAAGAACCCAAGCCAGGCTGTCGTCACTCAGGCAGAGGGACCAGCGCAGGTTACTCTCGAAGGAGGAAAACCATGACTGACGGAATGGTGGCATGCAAACCTGCCACACACCGGCTGGTGAGAGCCCACAGGGTCCCGAGGGTTGCGTTGCCAGCCCTACCCCATCAGCAGGAGTCTTAGATTTGGCCTGCCAGTAGACCTTGATGGAAAAGGACCTTGTTTTAGACACCCAAAATGTTCAACAAGTGGCTTTATGCAGCGTGGGGGCCGTTCGTGGGCGTGTGAGGGCGGCTGAGAGCAAGCCTGCAGCCTCCTGCCCTGGGATCTCCCCTATCTCCATCCCACGAACCCTCCTTCCCCTCTAAGCTGTGCTAGATCCCATGGGTCTTTATCAAAAACCACTCTGTACATTTGGTGCCTGGAGCTCCCTCAGCCATGGACTATGAATTCTTGCTAAATATATATTTAAGGGAGTCGTGGGGATATTTTTAAATGACCCCTGAAGCTATTTCTGCTTAATTTCCTTCACTTTTCCTCTGTGTCTCTCCCTGATCTTCTCCTCCACAGAGGACAAGAGCTCATTTTCATCTCTCCTGTCTGGGAGATGGGGTACCTGGCTGGCTGAAGACAAAAACAGTCCAAAAAAGAGCAGACACAGCTGAGCAAGAACAGCAGCCAGGGAGTTCGCCCAGGGCAGAGCACGGCAGGGTCCATCTCCCTTCCTGCTTCAGGGTGCTGCTGATCACCGGCCGAGAGCCACCAGGGTGAAATATTCCCCTCTGCAGCCCTGCCCAGGCACCCAACAGGGTTTTTAGCTCCTCTGTAGTCTTAAATAGATTAAACCTACATGGTCAGGACAAGATCTGGTCACGGTCCTGATGCTTTGGGCCAATCTTTAGTCCCTGTTCAAAAGAGAAGGCACATCCCCGCTACACTCCGCTTGCTGCAAGAAAACAGCGGG